ACCAACTGTCTGCCATCTATAATCCAGTTTTGAGATCCCTTCCCAGACGCCTTAACGCCCACTCACATCCTGGGCCATCTGACCTCAGGAAATCACATGATAGTGTAGCCGGATGGGCTACTCGCCCTTCTTTTTCTCTCTTTCTCGCTCGCTCTACCACCCTCGCTCTCTTTCCGCTGCACTCGCTCCTTGTACGCGTGATTGGGTTAATTAGGAACCCACCTGCATATTGATTACAGGGTGGTGTTTACCTGTATAAAGGGAAGCCGGGTTTTTTTGCTGGATCATTCCTCCCGAGCTTCTGGTGCGATACAGCAGTAAATGCTGGCCTATTGGCTAATTTACCGGTACAATCAGATTGTGTGACTGGTACAGCGGCTGTTTCTCTTTCCTTTACTCCAGCCGTGGTGGAGAGACGCGTGAGTTGCGTCCACCGTACAGTACAGCGCCTCCAGTCTTGGGGGTTTGATTGCTGCCGCACCCTCTCAGGGACCAACTGCCTGATTTTAAGTGATAAGTCGAGATGCCTGCCTAGCTGCTGTCTTGTCTTGCCCTGTTTTATCTTGTGTTCCAATCTGTTGGTCGTCCAGTTTTATTCCTGCTGCTTGCCTCGCCTCGCCCCTGGGGGCTTTGGGTCTCATGCTAAGCCCCTTTTTTTTAGACTATCGTTTCGCTCCAGCTTTCGCGACTGGTCGGGGCGATCTTCAGCTGCATATTGGGCTGGTGTTACTAAACTGGTACTGCCTCTCCCCTTTCTCCCAGTTGTGGAGAGCTGCGCGAGACTGAGTGGGGCTACGGACAATCGGAACCAGTACCAGCTGTGGGCTGGCTCGCAGAGTAGAGTATTTCCAATCTGTGCTCTGGTGTGTATGTGGGTGTGTTTTATTGCACATCTCCGTTTTTCTTTTAATTACTTTTTTTAGTATATAGAGAGCCTGTTTATGTCCCACGTTTTTATCCTTTTTAATGTGTATATCTTGTGCTTTTATTTCAGCGAACTGAGGATCTACCAGCGGCCGTGGGACCTTAGGTGTTTTCCACACTTCTTTTGTTGTACAGCACCAGGTGAATAGACTATTGTGGGTTTTTTTGTGTGGTTTTCTTTTGGTCCACCGCTGCTGGTAAGTCCCAGTTGTATGTTTATTTTTTTGGTAATTTGGGACACCATTTTAGACATTTAGTGCGCTGTCCTTGTGGCTTTGTTTTTATTTAATTTTAATAAATAAAATTGTGTTAATATTTGAGCCGGCCTCAGTGTGCATCCCTGAACCTGTGCAAACGTTGTTGTTGTTTTAATTACATTTCATTTTTAAAGTCCATATTTCCTGGGGGCTAGAATTCCCCCCCAGGTGGCGTTGTCATTTTATTATTTCTTTTATAACCTCGCCGACCACTTGGTCACAATAGGGTGGTACCAGGTTTCACAATGAGCTCACCCGAAACCTTGGCTGATTGTGACCAACACCTGTTTTCACACCTTGGCTCATGTGATTAGGTAGAGGATCATTAGGGGGTCCATTGTCCCTCATGGGGAGGACACTCACACAGGGCTTAAATCTGGGACCATTTGACCCTAGAACGGAAGAAGCTTCTCAGATGAGAGGTGAAACATATTCAAGAAACTTAAAGAAGTCCAGATGCTTTTCTTTTCAAGCTCCTTAGACTACGATGACCTGAAAGACTGAGAACCTTCACAGACAAGAGCATAGCTGGATTGGCCATCGGGCATACCGGGCATCTGCCCGGTGGGCTGATGGTGATTTTTCGTTTTTAATGGGCCGACGGTTTTTTTGTTTGTTTGTTTTTTTGTAACGGTATAAACAATGAAAGGTGGTGGATTGGCTAAATGGTCATGATCGACTCTGGGCTGGACCAATTACAGCCGATGAGGTCGAACTTTAAAGTTCCGTATTTAGGTGTAAAGGAACGTCATTTGTCCCGAACTTCAGCAAAAAATTAAAAAAAAGACAAAGCTGGAGTTATTCTGTGTCTTTACGCTGCATAGCTGCCTCTTCTTCTCTCATTCTCTCCCCCTCCAGCTCCTGTTGCTACTTCAATCATGAAACTGATCAATGATCAGCTGATCGGCTTTGCTGTCCTAAGTCCCGTCTCGTTTGTTTATCCCCCACTTTGCGCCAGAAAGACGAAACCGATGTCGCGCTAAACAACAGCAACACGTTTAAGCTTGATAAGCTGTTGTTATAATTTATTTGATATTACTTTCTAGTATCAGCTGATGTTTGCTGGAGCCACAGCCATATACTTTTCTTTCTTATTCTCATTTAAAATGTCTAGGTTTTAATAAATACAACCGAATCTTACAACCAAAGTGGTCATCTGATGTAAAATATATAAAAATTCATTATTGTATATAGTAAATATTAAGTCTAATATATGCCCTAATAAGCTATACCATGTGTGCAGTCTGCAATTCTGTTGCAGAAAGATATTGAATCTATTTAATTACTGTAGAAGAATAACTGGTTTCTGTGCACTTGTTTTACCCTGGCAATAAATTAAAGTTGATTACGTCGATTAAGCATCATGAGGCGGAGGGTGGGGGTTGGTCCCCTATTTTTTTTGCTGGGAGTTGGCAACCCTGCTAGTTAGGTATATGTAATTATTGATTAGGTTGTTTGATATTTCTGGTAAGTACTGTTTAAAATACCGGAATAGGGAGGATGGTGTAGGTTTAAGTTTATTAGATTGATACATATATACCAACAAGACAGTGTACATCACTGTCACAACAGCATTTGTTTTCATTCAAAGGCTTTATGGCTTTTCCTATAATACCTGGTGGGCCGTTCTCTAGTCAAAATGCCCGGGCTGATTTTTTGTCCCAGTCCAGTCCTGGACAAGAGTAATAGTGTTTAACCTGTTGGATTGTTTCATTTCCTGTAAGTCATTTGAATGCCAAGAATTTAGCTGATCTATTGCCTTGGGTGAATGTGAAATGTCAGTTTCTTTTTCTTATATGAGAGAGTCCAAAGCTCCAAAATCACAAACATGTTTGTATTCATGGAATGCTGTTTCTCAGCATCCATGCTTTATGTGTTAAAAAACAAAACAAAAACTGTCACGTGTAGGTCACATGACCTGGGACAAAGCATAAAAGTGCTGTTGCCTGAACAGTCACACGACATCCTCAGATGATACCCTCACCATCTCCATCTCTTGACACATTCACTGCTGAGGTTTAAACAGGTAATCTGATGTTTTTTTATTTAAAAAATATTTAACACATATTTTAAATCAAATCAAAGACTGAATCTTATATTATTTACAGTAAACTTATGAATGATCCTGCTGATTTTTTGCCACCTCAGGCTGAACAAATTAATTTAATAAATTTATCTAAATTACTGATTGTGTGTGAAGTATTCTAATATAACTAGCAGAAACACATCAAATATTGGTACTACGCAACCAATGCCAAACATCATTTTGATTTGTTAGCACAGGTAAATAAATATAAATAAATATCACAAATGTAGCTTTTTGAGCTGTTGATCTAATGAAACAAGCCTTTCAATGGAATGATGGACCCTTTCAACATGGAATGCAGTATTCTGAGTATATATAAGATAAGATAAGATAAGATAAGATAAGATAAGATAAGATAAGATAAGATAAGATAAAACTTTATTAATCCCTCGGGTGGGTTCCTCTGGGAAATTCGGTTTCCAAAACCACAGCACCGACAGAAGTTACAGAACGTGAGCAGAATATTATATATATACAGATATAAAAATACAGAGACATATATAAATAAAATATACAAAAGGGATAAATAGAATAAATAGAAATAAGAATACAAGGGAATTGCACATTTCAAGTATTGAAGTCTATTGCACCGTTGACTATTAACAAAACGTATTGCACAGTGACGTGAAGAGGCACTACAGCTTAGTTGTTCCTCCCTCCTTTGTCCTCCTGTTTCCCCTCCCTCTCCCCTCCAGAGAGGAGTTAAACAGTTTGATGGCGTGTGGGACAAAGGAGTTTTTAAGTCTGTTGGTTCTTGTCTTTGGGAGAAGCAACCTGTCACTGAACAGACTCCTCTGGTTGTTTATGGCCGTGTGCAGAGGATGCCCAGCAATTTTTTTAGTGTCCTTTTCTCTGCCACTGTCACCAGAGTGTCCAGCTTCATGCCGACCACAGAGCCAGCCTTCCTGATCAGTTTTTCCAGCCTGGATGAGTCCTTCTTTGCTGTGCTGCTCCCCCAGCACACCACAGCATAGAACAGTACTCCAGCAACCACTGACTGGTAAAACTCCTCAGGAGCTTCCTGCAGATGTTAAAAGACCTCAGCCTCCTGAGGAAGTACAGTCGGCTTTGGGCTTTTTTATACAGGTGCTCTGTGTTGCATGACCAGTGCAGTTTGTTGTCCACCCACAGCCTGAGGTACTTGTACTTGTTGACCACCTCCACCTCCTCCCCCTCTATTTGAACCGGCAGTGGACCTTCTCTGGACCTCCCGAAGTCCACAACCAGTTCCTTGGTCTTTGAGGTGTTGAGTTGCAGGTGGTTTGTGTGACTCCATGTGACGAAGTTCCTCACCAGACTTCTGTACTCCTCTTCCTGATTATCCCAGATACACCCCATGATGGCTGTGTCATCTGCAAACTTCTGAATGTGGCATAGGGGTCAGCACAGTTCCCGGTGGTGCTCCTGTGCTGCTGACCACAGTGTCAGACATGATGTCCTTCAGCCTGACGTACTGTGGTCTGTCAGTTGTTAGTGATTGTTAAAAAACAAACAAACAAAAAACCAGCAGCATATTAATTAATATTTAAAATAATCACTAGAAGCCATCCTACATATTATAACACCATGGTGTTATATTGACAAATCAATGTGAATAGCCGGGTCATATCTACTTAAGAGAGATGAATCATTCAAAAAAAACAAATAAAACAAAAATAGTATTTCTTGCATTTTATTTTTGATACATTACATTACAGCTTAAAATAAAGCAACTGTTCTCTCTTCTCCCAGCCATGCTCTCCTTTTCAACTCCCACCACTCTCTACCTGAGCCTCCTCCTCCTCTTTCCGTTGTACCTCTCCCCTGCTCTTTCTTGTCAGACTGGGACTCAGAGCCAGTGTATGTCTGCTCCCTTTGTGCCTGGTTATGACCTGGCAGGGGAGGGCTTTGATGTTGTTACACTTAAGCGAAAAGGAGCTTATGTGATTGATGTGAAGACCTACCTCACTCCAAGTAAAACCTGTACACTCTGCACCAACCCTCATAAAGGCGGCCAACTGCAGAAAGTAACTAAATATTATAGTAATTAATAAAAAACATGTCAAAAATTACTTTGGCATACCATTAACATGCTAAACCTGTTATTAATTATATTTCCAGCTACCAGTCTCTACTTTGGACTGGCGCACATTCAGCCGCTGCAGTTTTCGTCTCGAGGACAGTGAACACACCTCCATCAGGTATTCTAGGACTTAGAAACATAATCACTCATTGTGCCCTAACATGTTTCATACATTACTTTACATATTCATAGATGTCATCCCACCCACATGGCATACAATAATTAATTTTGTCAAACAATCATTTAATAATTGCAAATCATTTTTTTCCTACTGGAATATTTTGGGGAATTAAGCAAAATAATTTCTCTACAGTTCACTGGTCGCAGCATACACCGACCAGAACAGCAACGACTGGAAGGTAGGAAACATTCATGTTGAGTGAAACATGGATATAATGTTACTATTACTGCAAACTGTTGATCTAGTCCTGTAATCATTCCTAGCTCCATGTTTTAAAAAGAAAATAAATAAAAAAATATTTAAAGAAAAAAAGAGAAGAGAAATACAGTAACAAGGCATATAAACATCATACAGTGTGGAACCCCTCTGTTTATTGAGGAAAATCATCCCACTTTTGTTTTAATATGCAGCTCTAGGTAAGAAAGAATTGCCTGCAATAACATACACACACCACGCACAGTAATACACAGTAACAGAAGGTTGTGAGAACAGTGTCTATGTATAAACTATAAAAGTAACGAGAAGGTGTTCTAACTTGTAGAAGGATCTTAAAAAAGAAACATTTAGTTTTCCCAAAAATCCCGTTTTCTTGTCAGGTGTTTCTCAAGAGTCCTTAGAGTGAGACTAGTACTTCTCCTAGTTTTTTTTTTTTTATATAACAATCAATAATTTAAATGCTATGGCTATAATTCCCTCGAAGCAAGGCAGACGCAAGTGGTTTTCCGTCACTGGTTTATTTGAAGACTTCTCTCCAAAGTCACCGTGAAAACTACACACCATTAACAAAATAAAAACTCAACGTCACACTCACACTCAAAAACTCAAAGACACAGCACCTAAAATAACACTGTACAACAAAACGAGATATATCAATAAATACCTCGTTGGCTGCATGCTGCAAAAAGGGAATTAGTCACCATTCTTCTGAAGTTTCCTTATAAGTGTGTAGTTAAAGCCTAGTCCACTTAGTGTGACTTTCACTAAAGAACGGGCTCATTCTTGCTCCGCGCTTACAGGTGGTTTTCTCCTTTTTTCTCCCACAAAGGAAACAGCGCGACTTGTAAGCAAGCTTGACTTTCAAAATAAAAGCACAATAAGTTTAACTACAAAAAATAGCATAGCATAAATAATGTAAAGCTTAAACAATTTACAACGATGACATGGACCTTGAGAAGATAAAGAAATAATTCAAATGATATAAACAATGTCATCATGCCAACAACTACATGACCATGCATTGTTTGGACATGGACAATAAGCTGGTCTAAGCTGGCACTACTTCCAAGAACTTTGCAACTTGTTCTCCAATGTGAGCCTTTCTCTTCTTTTTGTAAATATTCCTCTTGACTGTATATATTTCTCCCGTTTGTTATTTATTCCTGCTGTCTTATTATTTATATTTTATTTGTGCACAGTTGCTGTGGAGCACACATAATTTCATTGTACATCTACAATGACAATAAAGGACTACACACCCATTGCTCAACAACTTGTTAATTACAAGTCAGTCACTGAGTGTCTGGTTTACAATCAGCACACTTCAAAATGAGACTTCATAAACCAACATATGACATCACAATAGCTACATGCATCTTTTATACTCTCTATGGTAACAAGCTTTTTAGCTGCTTTCAATTAAAGGTACTTTTAAGGCCCATTGCAAATAAAAGTTGAACAACAGGTGAGTTGTCATCTTAATTCAATGTGGTCCTATAATTCACTCACTAACAATCACACTTCAATCAAAATATAAATACGGAATTATTTCTGACATGTCTCACAAATCACATAATATTAGCTGGGCCAAATGACTGTTCTGGGGTTCAGACCATATTTTATAACAATATATCCAAAAACTGTCAAGATATTTCAGTCCTCAATAAATCTACTCACAGTAAAGTCTGTGGGTAATTTTCACACAAACTAGTGAGTTTTAAAACATTTAATGCAGTTGATCGTTATTGTATATCAGTGAAATATTGAATTAATGATATCACCATTAATATGTTGGGGCAGCTCATGTTCTCCTATTAGATTAAATATTGCAAATTAGAAAAAGTATAGTATAGTATGCTAGTTCCAATTAAAAACAGTTGTTTAGAAAGGCAACAGAAATCAGTTAATATTTAGCAAGTATAATATATTTACTATGACCACACCTTACATTATCATGCTAAAATGTGCTTTAGCATTCAATATAAAAGTACAGCTGACAGCCATTTTAATGTTTTGGCTGCTAGTTTCAGGGAAATATCTATTATGCTGGGAAATCACATAGCTCATGCCTTCATTTCTCTTAGGTTGGACTGGATATTGAGAAGCTTGGCAACCTGGAGTTTGGAGGAACAAGATCTAAAGCATACAACTTTGCTGTAACCAAGAAGACAGAGGACCGCTACACCTTCAGCACACATACAGTCACCTGTAAACATTATAGGTAGAGTTTAAAGACTACTACAACATCTAATTTTTTAAATTTAAGTTTGGTGTCTATTAATCTGTATTTTTTTTGTGTGTTTAGTTACCGTGTGTCCAACAGCCCTCGTCTCAGTGCTGAGTTCAGTAAAGATTTGGCCAGACTCCCAGCTACCTACAGCTATGCAACCCAAGCCCAGTACAGACACTTCATAGACACATACGGCACACATTATATTCGCCAGGTGATAAAATTAATATACACATCCCTTTAATTTTTTTATACCATTCAGAAGTCATTAAAGCCTTTTAAAAAAATGTTTAATAAATGTTTTTTCAGGTTGATCTTGGAGGGCAGTTCAGGCGAGTCACGTCTACACGTACCTGCTTGTCCAGTCTGAATCATCTTACTTCATCCCAGGTATGTGTAGCACATATATCTGGTTAAAGCAGTGAACACATGTACATACACTTTGTACCAACAAAAGCAATATCCAGTGTTACCTCCTTTCACACAGGTACACACCTGCTTGTCATGGGGTGTCAAGGTAGGCCTGGGGAATGTTAATCCGGGTCATTCTGTTAACTCATGCACCTCAGTCCTAAACAACCATGGTGACTCTGTTATGTACGCCTCTGGTCTTCACGGTCATTATTCAGAAGTGGTAGGAGGCAGAGGCTGGACTGGGGAGTTTTCACTCACCAGAAATGACTCACTGGGCTACCAGAATTGGCTAAAAACCCTCATAGATCAACCTGATGTAGTTTGCTACTCTCTAAGACCACTGCATGACCTGGTGCAAACGTCAGCACGGAAACAGGGACTAAAGGCTGCAATAGAGCAGTACTTAAAAGACAACGCCATCAGTCGATCAAACACACAGTCGTACTGTAGCAGCAGTGGTCCCAACCTGGATTCCAACTGTTGTCCTAAAGAGACTCAGAGAGGAACACTAAGGATAACAAGGATCCAAGCCTCTGGTCTGCAAGGAGATTATTGGGGCAAGACTGACGGGTGAGTAGTGAACAAGATAAGCTTCAAAGGAAAGCCACTGTAAACATAACAGATGAATCATAGACATCAACACAAGGAGGTATATTATACCCCTTATGTCAAACAGAGTGATTTGTGGCCCCAATAAATGATTTGTGACCCTAGGAATGAATAAAGGAAGTAATAAAACATATGGTAGCCATAAAATTATTATATTCATAAAAATTATGATATTCATAAATTTGTGATATTCATCAAAATATGCTAGTTCATAGCTCATTAATTTTTCCCCCAAAAATAAATGATTTGATTATTTAAAAAAAGTTTTTTATATCAAGTAGCATTCTTTATTTTTAAGCCATTAAAAAGTTTTTACTTTTTATGCTTAAAAAACGCCATCTGGTGGTGGGTCAGTGTGGTGGGTCCACCCCTACATGCTCTTACATTAACCAACATAGTGACACAGTGAACGGTCTGCCGGTTGGGTTGGGCCGAGGATGAATGACCTGGCAGTCCCTGGCGGTCCACACAGCTGTTCTGACGGTAGTATCCCGGATCTCAGTCTGAGTTGCTCTGGAGAGGTGAGGGTTAAATCTATCAATAAATATCCGTGTGGTTCTCTCGTGGCTTCTTCAAAACTCTCCAAGAAGTTTTGTGGTGTCTGTACTGTGTGAAAATCCGGACCACTTTTGGATGATTTGCTGCTTGAAAAATAACATCATCCAGTACAATGAGATGACTCTGGTGTGAGGGAAACAAGCTCTCATCTTCAAAAGAATCAGGGAGACCTTCAATGAATTTAATGCTTTTATTTTTCTCTTGAAGCTCAGGATACAGAGGCTGAAAGGATGTATAAACCCACACAACTTTGTCAACAAGCTTGTTCAAAACATGTACACAGTTTTCCAATACAGATTTCACGAAAAAGGTCTTTCCCCTCTTGGTTGTTCATTTCAGCACAAGTGCGACAGAGAGTAAAGAGAAGCTTGCCTGACTTTGTTTTATAGGGTAAAACGGGGAAATAGAGTCCTCTGGGTGGGTATACAACCGCTTTGATAAACCCAAAGTAGTTTTTAGGGTGCTGAAAATTTCGAAAAATTACTTGAGGATGGCCTAAGGGGTAACGACAGGTGCTATTTACAAACGGACACAACGAGGTAACATCCACATAACTAATTTTCTCACCAGGCGCTACACTGTAACGCAACTGTGCTGGGCTTGTACAGCCTCCGAAGAGGGCATGGCGAGGATTCAAAGGCTCTGGTGGATCATAACATTTGAGAAAGTTGATTACACTCTCATCAGTACGTTTTAACTTGGTCCACTCATGCTCCCAGATTATAACAGGACACACATTATGCTCAGCTCTCAATCTAGCGAGCCTGTCTTGAGTGGCCATGTTAATGTCTGAAAAAGAGGCACCTAACAGAGGGTTAACATCGGCCTGATTTGAAAAACGCGTAACACACCCATGGAAGTAGCAACCCAAAAATTCCCACAGGTATGTTTTACCGTTAATCTGACCATACCCATCCACATAATAACTACCGAGCTGTTTTTCCCCTTGATTGAGTGCATGTCTGATAAAAACACCTTGTGTGTAAGAGAGATATTCGAGCCATTGAATTGAGGATGAGGAAAATGATTTGACCTGATTACGGTAATTTAGAGGGCACGGTATTGCTAAAGAATTCGCTGGCATGAAGTTTGTTAAATAGGGTTTTAGGCACGCGCTAGCAAGGGTGTTGCGGCTGAAAGGATCTACTCCTGTCTCTTCAATAAATCTGTTTCTGAACAATGTGCAACCCCGAGCTAGAATTTCAACATCGTTTTCACAGTATAAAAGGGCTGTAAAACTTTTTAATGGCTTAAAAATAAAGAATGCTATTTGATATAAAAAAAAACGTTATTTTTTAATAATCAAATCATTTATTTTTGGGGAAAAAATTAATGAGCTATGAACTAGCATATTTTGATGGATATCACAAATTTATGAATATCATAAATTTTATGGCTACCATATGTTTTATTACTTCCTTTGTTACTTTCTAGGGTCACAAATCATTTATTGGGGCCACAAATCACTCTGTTTGACATAAGGGGTATAATATCCCTCCTAATACAGTAATGTTCTTTTACCACATTTTGCCATTTCACAGATATGTTAAGATCCAGTTTCAATCGCAAAAATTCCAGACCAGTGTGATCGAATCTGACTTTCCCTCCTGGACCACCAATTACAATCTGGAAAATGTCAGTACAAATCACTTCTATCTCACTTTTATCCTCTACAACAAGTAAAACCAAGGACATTCTGCCTTCTGGAGTTTTTTTTTCTTTTAAATTATTATTGTAATAAAATGAAACATTACTTTAAATGGGCACAACATGCATCATTTTATTTCACTTTGATTTAACTTTGGCTGACTTTTTTTTAAAAAGGTGAGAACAAGCTTGCCTCTGACAGTTGAAGTCTGGGACGAGGATGTGTCCTATGATGACCATCTGGGAACGTGTGTGAACTACCTGACTCAAGGTACAAACACAATCGGATGCTCACTTCAAGAAGGCGGCACTGTTGAGGTCCAGTATACTCTGACATGTGACAGACACCTGACTGGATCCACCTGTAACCAATACCAACCATCTTCACAATGAAAACGCATTCTGGCTGGCACACACTATGGAAATGCTGGTAGCTTATCTTTAATCAAGTATCATGTCAGGTTGGGTGATAACATTCTTTATGTGCAATATATAAAGAATAATAATTGGGCACAAAATTAACACATACCATGCACTTAGAGTTACAGCTAATTTGATGTGTCATATAGTCTGAGGCAGACAGTCATCTTGTTTAATCCTCATTTGATTTTGGTGGTGGGTCCACATTCAAATCACTTTGTGTATTCATTAAAGACACTTGTGATTATTTTCTGAATTATGTGTAAAATGGTCAGGCCTCTTCATAAGTATGATTACAAATGCATTCTTGTGTGTCATTCTTGCAAAAGCCTTCATAACGTGCAAATATTTTATGTATATTTTTCAGTTCTTTGATTTGTAACAAGTATATAAAACATTAAGTTTAGCAATGCTTGCATGGGTCATATTTAGGGACTTAATGTATCATTTATAATAATGCTGATTATAAAGAAATAAATGTGAGTTCTGATTAATTGATATTTGGCTCATTAAACCTTGGTGGTATTTGAATGGCCGTAAATAACTTTTTTCTTTCTTTTTTTTGTAGACACCAAGACTAGAATAAATAAATACAAACATACAGTACAGCACTTCAGAGTCATACTGCTAGCGATCGAAGATTTATGTAAATTTGACAAGCTGGAAGCATTCTGTACTGTACAGGAGACATGAGATTGATTGACATTGCTCTACAGCCAATCAGGACGCAGAGTCCTGAAATAAAATCCACAAAACAGCGAGGCCGCGAAAGGTGAACCGCGTTATAGCAAGGGACAACTGTAGTTTCAAATCGTATAAATAGCCAAAGCTCTGTTGAACAGGGTTACATTTTTAGGGTTTAAACCATGATTGTAAAAATGAATATGCTGTACTGAAAAATACTGAATCTGGGAAGTGAGAGAAAAAACTTATCCAATAGGTTTACTGAGGTCATAAATCAAGTGAGCAGAAGAATCCCTTTCTCACTGACTTCACAGTTTTTCTGAATTGCTAAAACACTAAATCCCATTGTGAAAACTAAACTGTCAACTATGAAAACTCTTTCATCAAATCAATCTCACAGTTGCCAAAATCTTAAACATTATTCATCTGGTTAGGACACCATTTGCAACTCTGAATCTCCCATTTACCAAAACTCTAAACACATTCTCAAACACAAAACACATTTAGCAGTGTGGTGCACTTGTACCCAGAATGGTACACACAGGCTACAGAAGTTAAACACAACTAACACACTGTTTTCATCATTTACACACTACCACTCAAAATTGAAAACCCATGTTGCAACCTCTTCTTCTGCTTTTTGCTAGATTGAATACAGCTTCATCCACGAAGCTGCATTCATGAGGCCTAACCATTGAATCAAGCTCAAAGATTCTCTTTATACAACAAACCAATTTTAGTTCTGTAAATGAAATAGTATGATGTATATATGTGCTATCTATACAAGTATACTTATAACTAAATGGTATTTTGTTTAGAATTGAAAAACAGCCACATGAGGGTGGAAGAACAAGCATGTGCTCACAAATGGCCTGTATTTGTATAGCGCTTTTACAGTTTTTTCTGAATGCTTAAACCCTAACTGTGATTCTTATAGCACAATTTCTAAAACTATTAATACTTATAGCAAAACCACTCACTGAGTTTGCAAAACTAAAAGCACAAACACTGCTTTGCACTCAGTTTGCCATTTTGTAACACACACTTTGCAAA